AGAATATTTTTTAAATCTATACATGTTTGTTTCTCCTCAAATCTCTCATTTTTGGAAAATTAAGTTTTGAAATATTTATACGTATTAAAAAAAAAAAAACATACATCTTTTGTTGATTTTACATACGAATTGGATATGTTCTTATCTTTACACTCATAGATTTGTTGCTACAGGAGGTGCTTTAAACTCTGACATGTACAAATTCATATTAAATGGTTTGCTAAAAAAATATGAGCAATGCGTTGAATAAATCATTACAATAGCCCATATCAATAAACATTTATCCGAGAAAAACACAAAAACTCAAAAATCTAGATAAACATATGAGTTTTTCTTACATCAAAATATAACCAACATGCAAAATTTAACAGAAATGTTTGCGTTTGTAAGAAGTTTTACATCAACAAACAAAATTGGTCCAAATTATTTACCACTCTTCCAATATTTTTTGTGGTCCAATAAATGGTTAAGTTACATCCTCTAGGAACGCTGCAGATCTATGAGTCAAGATTAAATTTCAATTTACACTCATTTAAGTGTTCTTTTCTATCACATTCACATTCTAACATATTGAATGAGGTTGTGAATCTCTCCCAATCAGCGGTATATATTATAGCTAAATCCATGTTATCCTAAAAATATTAATGTTTTTTTTGTTATCTTTGGAGTAATTTAAACCTATTCTCTAATCACATCATCATCTTCTTCTTCTCTAATAATATGAGACTTAACATAGAGTTTTGAACCATGATCTCGTGCTGCTCGTTCTCTTAAACTCGTCAGAGATTACTCACTTCTTTTCGATGTCACTTATTTTGAAATTTTCGTAAACGTTTTAGATTGGTTTAGATATCACTGAGAAAATAACACAAAGTAAAACAATTAGTAGAATTTCTTTATTTTATTCTTCCTCTCCAATTTCTATTCTTATTTTTCTTCTTTATCTATAAATATTTTTAAATCTACACATCTACTAAAAAAAAGTTATCAAATATTTTTGCATATTAAAAAATTAAACATACATATATTGGGCTCTCAAATACTATATTTTTTGTCTTCGTTTACGTGTTGAAAAAGTCATTACCATATCGCACATCAACATACCTTAATCACAGAAAAACACAAATTAGTTTCTAAATAAATGTAATTCTCCCTACATCACATTACAAAAAAAAAGTGTGGCATTTGTAAGGATACGCTAAACACATAAACGACTCCAAGTTAAAATAAGCAATCGGTTTTCACTACATTTTTTTATTAGAGAGGGAGGCCTCGTGGTAGAGAAAGAGATATATGTGTTCCATTTAAACCAACTTCTACCTCCTCAATTTTGTATTTTCGAAGCCAAGTTTTGTTTGTCTCCCATTCTTTACAATCTGTAATTTGTTGGAAATTTAACCGTTTTTTTATTATCTTTAGAAAACCGCAAAAAACTTACAGTTTATGTATTTAAAAAGAGACATAAAATCAAATGATGCTTACATGTGGTGCTTTAGATATTTCTGTTAGGTATTTCCGAGTATTGTTGCTACAGGTGGTGCTTTAAACTCTGACATGTACATATTCATATCAAATGGTTTGCAAGAACATTTTCATCAAAGATCCAGTAAAATCAAAATAAGTAGGTAAGGAAACAAAGCGGAAAGATATGACACTACCATGTTCATTAATATGATAATAACTAAACTAAAACATAACCTTTTTTTAGCTACCCATTTTCAAAGAATACATATTTAAATAAAATAATTCGAACATCAAATAATACTATATTTTGATTATATAAAGTTACCAGTTGTATATAAAAAAAATATTTAATGCTACAACTTACTTGTTTATATTTTAAAAATAAACTTATAAACCTATTGCATTTTATGAATATGTTAGAAATCGTTTGCTTAGAAACATATAGTATAAACCCATGGTATTTAGAGATTAACATATTTAAAAATGATATTTTTTCAAATATCCTCGCGAGCATATAGATTGAAAAAATTAATAAGATACACAATTTTATAAATAAAATTAATACCAAGAGATCAATTTGGTATTCTGATTGTTATTCACTTTAAACATAATGAACACATGTTTGTAATAATTTCTTATAACTTAAGAATTATTATTTTGTATGATTTTTCAGATATCTCTGTGAACATATAGATTAAAAGAACTAATAAGGTATACAATTTTAAGAATGAAGTTAATACCAGAAGATCATTTTGGTATTCATCCCACGCATGACATTTTAATTGATTCTTATTCTCTGTAACAGAAGAACATATGTTTGTAATAGTTTTCTATAACTCATGAATTGCTCTACCCTAGAATTATTATTTTTTATGACTTTTCAAATACCCCCGCGAGCATATATATTGGAAGAACTAATAAGGGACAATTTTAGGAATGAAGTAATACCAAGAGATCATTTTGATATTCTCTCTGCACATGACATTCTAATTGATTGTTATTATTTTCAAACATAAGAACATATATTTGTAATAATTTTGTATAAATTAAGAATTTTTCTACCTAAAATTATTACTTTGTATAGAAAGTATTGGTCAGTATGTAATGTTGAAAAAAAAAGTGAGTCGATTTTGTTTTCAGTGAAAATTAATACAACTATCATGGTATGGTTAATACAAAAATAAAATAAAATGTTATGATCGAATAGTCGTTTTATAGTAATGATTTTTTTGAAACTAAATTATAGATATAAAAGGTTCTAAACAATAATATGTGAAGCTAAACAATCATATATGTTAGCAAAATATTTAAAATAATTTATTTAGCAAATTGAGAGGAGCTAAACTCTAAAAGGAGAAATTTAATCATAACATTTATAGACATACCATGAATATTTTTAGCAAATTAAAAGGTTATAACTATTAATATTTGAGGCTAAACCGTGATAAATGTATGCAAAATATTTAAAACAATTAAAGTATCTACCAAATTAATCTAAACCCTAAGGTAGTGTTAACCCTTGGGGAGTCCTAACACTCACGCATTGAATAAAATTACGGTTCGATTCAATTCGGCTATAGAAAATTTTGGTTTGTAGGTAACGTTGCGAAAAGAAATAAAAATTTTAATTCGATTTTTCTTTTATTGAAAATTATTACAACAACCATGGTATGGTTACTATAACAATAAAATAAAATATTATGATTTAATTCTCGTTTGATACTACTAATTTATTGTTATCTTTTTCAACTTATAGATATATCATTTATATTTTTAGTGAATCAAAATATTTAATTTTTTTTTTGCAATGTTAGAGGAGCTAAAACCTAAAAGGGAGCTTTAACCCTATAAAAACTTTACCACTCACACACTGAATAAAACTACGGTACAATTCAGTTTTGCTATAGAAAAATTTGATTTGTATGCGACATTGCAAAAAAACTAATGTTTAATTTGATTTGTTTTGTTAGTGAAAATTACTAGTTAAATGACAATCACCATCTTTCTATCTGCATAATTTTTAGAAGTGTGATACTGATTGAATTCTTGAAGTTTTATATATGTGGTATTTTGTAGAAAATATTTTAATTGATGAGATTTAAAAATATGTAGAGAAATCTTCGATCAAATGCATGTGGAGACTTCGATGTAAAAACTTGCTATCTTCTACTAATGCTAGGACAAAAGCTTATATTCATGTCAAAATTAGGGTGCCATGTTGTATTACGCAAATTTTCATAACAAAATTATTTACACATTTGTGAGCATTAACCCTAAACCCTCACAAATGAATGCAAAATATGGAATGACATAAAATGTTGGTGGCATTGACTAAATATATCGATTTTAAGGGTTGAAAACCTTTATATGAGAAACTAAACTCTCACAAATGAACGTAAAATATGGAATGATCTAACCTGTTCGCATTGACTAAATATGTAAATTTTTTAGGGTTCTAAACTCTAATATGGGAGACTAAGTACCCACATTTATATATACAATATGAAACAATTTAAAATGTCGATTTAACTAAATATATGGATTTTAAGTGATAGTAAACCTTAGTATGAGAGCCTAAACACTTATTAATGAACACAAAGTATGAAATGATTTAAACTGTTCGCAATGACTAAATATGTAGTCAGATTGGAGTGCACTTGTGATTAGAGTATGCTCAGTAAAGGAGATAAATAAATTTATTATTTGTACGTATTTCAATAGATTCTAACAAACCAATTAAACCATGTAGAGAACAAATATAGTAAATCAAATTTAGAAAATCGAAATAAAGAATATGGAGAAGATAAAAGTGTAGCGACCGGTAACTATTCCCACTAACGCGACTCTATCTGGCTCACCATTGGAGGTTTCTAAGCTCTGCGCCTCCATGAAGCTGGGGCTTACGGCGAAGGATTTGTGCCTGATGAGGGAAGCTCTGTATCTGAATGAACAGTTCTCGTCTCGATCCCAGCGAGAGGTGAAGAGCATCTCGGCGATGCCAAACCAGCCACAAGCAGCGGAGCCCCCCGACCCCCCAGATCCACGAGACCGGGTCTCTCATCCGTCGTGCAAGGGGGCTCTCGCTTGGCTTAGTCAAGCGTTTCACGTTCGAGAGGGTCATGGAGAACCTTCTCCCTTCCCATCGCGGCAAGGATCTAATCTGGGTAACCGGATAGGGTTTCTGGAGATGACTGGGGTCCCTGCTCTTCCGGCGATGGCTGGGGTTTCCGGCTCACCGTCAATGTGTAGCACCGGATATGGAACCGCAACCGCCCCAAGCATCCAAATCTGGTATGTAAAAGGTTTGAGCCTGGCTTGTTCACTGAGATCCGACTCCCGCAAGCCCTCACCGGATCCACCTTCCATTCCGACGGGTTCGCCACTAGTGAAACATCAGATCCACCTCCCTCTGCCTTGGTTTAAACTGACCAGAGCTATCTCCGGTAATTTTTGTCAGCCGGAACCATGGTCTTACCCGATGCTGCCACAATATTCCGAGATGTATCAGAGTTGGGCTAGACCCATGAGTTCTTTCAAAAGTGGGCTTTGCTAGCCAATTATTTCGGATCCCTTGGCCCAACAGATTTGGCCCAGCAAGACCATTATTAAAAAACATCAGCCATGGGCTGTTGAAATGGACATGGGCTTGAAGATGGAATTGGGCTTGATCTTCAGTATTGTGGGCTTCATAGTTGACCCAATATCTGGCTTCGTTGAACACTACACTGATTTGTTGGCCGTGGGAGATTTAATCGGCCAGGTCACTCGTCAAAGCTCAGATTCCACTTCGGGATGGTTTTGGCTTAAACCTCCCCGGGTTAGTTATCCCTCGTACTCATACTCTCTACCGGTCTTAATTTTGGATGTGGATAACACATTGTTAGGATCGGAACGGTAACGCTCCCGATCACTTATAGACAGGAAACGCTACAGATGTGCGCTTAGTCACTCGTTCCGAGGTTCCAAAAGCGCATCAAGGAACCCAAGACTAAATGACAAGACGCACATTTCCTACCGAACATAGCACTAGGCTTTTCAACCCGAGTCATGGCCGTTAGTTAGTTCGCCCCGGATTAGGACTAGTATCATATGCAACCCAAGGTTTTAACACATATCCATTTTATACATTATTATACTATGTTTTT